AGAGTGTCGTGCATGGTTCTTGCACAAACAAACATGTCTAAAGCACATTGAATGCCCATCGAGAGCGCGAGCACCCTCGCCTGACACCCTAAACCCTAAACCCTAAACCCCAAACCCTAAACCCCAAAGTGAATTGGAGCCCCAAAGTTAAGCTATAGGGATGACACGGGAAGCATCTGGGCATTTGAGGGTTTAGGGTTCAGGGTATATCCAATAAACCTTGAACCTTAAACCCCACACCAGGAATATATGGTGTGTACATAGACACATAGATGGATAGGTAGGTAGATAGATGGATGGATAGGTAGCTAGATACGGAGATAGACAAATAATAAGGGCGTGGTGTTAACATTGTGTCCACCTGTTGGGTATCCTAAATACAAGGGGCCGTTATATGACCATACTGGGACCATAGTTGTTGACAGCCTACCGCATGTATAGCAACTACTCGGATGAATAGAAGGGGGTTTTAGGGTTGAGGGTTTAGGGTTTAGGTTGGAGGGGGGTTGGGGATGGGGATTAAGGATGCCCATGCTTTGCGCGAGTATGCTTGTATAAACAGACCCTAGTCTTGAGCACTATCGTAAACCCCCATCCCTGATGTACATTCTTGTTTTTGGACGGGAGACTTGGGAAGCAGGTGTGGAGTTGTGGTGTGCTCTAGGTGTCCAGCAGAAAAGGATTATGCAGAGTTGCTTAGCCCCTTCTGGGAGTCAACCTTTTGCCATTTGCAGGTTCATTGGTCTTTCTGGGTAGGTTTACAGAAACATAGCTATACTCGCATTATCACCCTCCACATCTACCGAAAAGAACCAGGTAACCCAGACCCCTGTTTAATAAACCCCCTCCCCTTAATAGGGATCTTAATATTTGGGCCCTTAAAAGGAAGGGTTTTATTAATCAGGGGTCTACATCACGCGGAGGCTTATTCCAATCTCAGTCCCTTTATGATCCCCATCTATCCACAGCATACTTAACGGACTCTAGGATTTAAGGAATTGATCGGAAATCCCGAAATGCTATATCAATGTGCGTACCCACTTTCCGTTCTAAACCCTAAGTTCCGAGCCTTCAGAGCTGAATCCTTACCTAAGCACAACTCTTTAGGGTCTAGGGTTGACCCCTAAATAAGAATCCAATGATGGCCCAAAACCCTCAGAAGAAGAGACAAAGGGCTGATATTCTACATACCATTACCCTAAACCCTAAACCCTAAATCCTTTACCCTAAACCCTAAACCCCTTAACCGTTGGAGTTGTCCTACACGTTCCTCAGCCCTTAATTCACCTTGAGCCTGACAGCTCCAGCTCCAAATCTCAAGCCTTCATCTAAGATTCCAAGTCACCAAAGGGTTTAGGATTTAGAGTTCGGAGTTTTAGGGTTTAGGTATTACCCTAAAATCCAAGTTCCCAGAGGGCTTAGAGTTTAGGGTTTAGGGCTTAGGAGCAAAATGTCATTTAGGCCCACATGGTTTGTATGCAAATGCTCCATGCACACATTATCTACTATTTGAGTTTTTGGACCCTTTAGTCACCATGTTCTGAAAGACCGCCTGGTTTCCCCATTCCTTTCATCATCATCTTCTCCTTTCCACCCGGGCGTTGAATCTTGGGAGTCGCGAAGACCACAGTCACCTTGGTTTAGGGTTTAGGGTTTAAGGTTTAAGGTTTAGGGTTTAGGGTTTAAGGTTTAGGGTTTAGGGTTGTTTCTCGTCAAGGTGAGGTTCGCTCTCTTTAGGGTCTAGGGTGGTCCTGAACTCCCAAACCAGCAAGAGAATACTCCAAAGCATGGAAATCACAGGGATTTCCGAAAACCTACAACCTGAAATTAACTCTCAAACTTAAAGCGAACTTAAGTTGTCCATCAACCCGATGCCTGAAAGAAACCTCAGGCTGAATCTTGCAACCCCGTACCTGGACTCGGAAGTATGGACATGTAGAATAGTCCTGTTGAATATTTTGAGAGCTTGGTGCGCGTAATGACATGGCACTGTCTATAGCACCTTCGTGAAGTTTTTGGTCCAGGGGAAATACGGAGCCACCTTTTAAACCTACAACCCCATGATCCCCAAACTCAAAACTTTGAAATTTCTGAGGATCTCTGACGCTTTTGCTATTTGCAGGAAACTGCCTAAATCCTACACCCCGAACCCTAGACTCAGAATCCCCCAAGACCCTAAAACTTGTTCCCTCCACCCCGAAAAGGGATGCCCTGGTCAGCATCAAACACTAAAACCTTGACTCTGATACCTCAGCCCTAAGTATATCTAAACCTAACTACAGTAACCTTACTGCCTAGAAAAAACAAAAAGCCACTCTGAATCGGTACATGGGCTGCTTCAGGTAGATCTCTAAACCCTTCTCTCTAACGCGCGTCAGGCCGCCGGATTCGATAATCCTTGCGGAACGTTACCGTTGACGTGCTCCACGACCCATTTGGCATCTTCCAAACTTCCCATGACCACGAAGCCTTCACCATTGGGTCAGTAGGAAATACAGCGAATATATATATATATCATGCAGACATCATATATGTAGAGGGTTCAGGGTTAGTAGGGAATGAGGAAATCTGTGTGTGTGTATATATATATATGTATATACACACGTGTGTACCTATATGTGTATATATATATATATATTCATGTATACATATATTTGTATATATATATACACACACTCGTATATATATATATGTATATATGTATATATAATATATGTATATATGTATATGTAGGTATCAATATAGGGTTTAGGGTTTAGTAGGAAGTAAGGGAATATGTTATATGGTGATTATGTAGGGATTCTGTGGAGGGTTCTTAAGGTCTTAAACGCAAAAGAGCAGCAACAGCGCTACCATGAATCTGCTAAGCAAAATGAGGGTACCCTTGATATGCCCAAACCCTAAACCCTAAATCTACACCTTATGATGAAACTTCAGGCAGCCACGGACGTTTCTGGTCTCCACAAGTGGGCACACCATTTAAGCACGATTGCGCTCCTCGTATAGGACAACGTCCAAACACGCGTTGTAGGGTTTAGTGTTTGGGGTTTCCCATTCCGGGTTGAGGGATCATGGGAGCTATAGTCTAAACTCCTAGTATCCCCCTTAATAACCCCTATAGTAGTCCCCCATATAATCCCCTATATAACCTCCCTTTAAGGAGTTTAGACTATAGCTCATGGGGCCCTAAAATGCCCTTAACCCCCAAACAGGGCACTCGGCTTGTTTCAGGTGGCGGCTGTGATTGAGGGGTTTAGGGTTTAGGGTTTAGGGCTGAGGCCTGCAATGAAAGCCACCCAAAAGGCACCCGCCCAATCTCAGTACTGAATCAGTACAGGGTGTCGGGGTTAAGGGCTCAAGCTAAACCAGCGAAGTTTATTTCAAAACGCAAAAAAAATGCGAGTGACGACCAGAGAGTTCTACAGCAGCCTAATTCTTGGAAACCCTCATGGGTCTAATGTAGACAAGTCAAAAACGATGAGTGCATTAACAATGCATTTAGATTGTGATGGAATAATATTGGTTTTAGTATTGATTCAGGCCTCGAAACCAATCATCCCCTAAACTCCTATGTAATCCCAGTCTTCATGTTGTATGTGTTTTTGTTGCGTTGGATGCTGGTGATTCTTCAGTCTTCTACAATATCAAGCTCAAAACCAAAATAAGCGTATCTAATACCTGCAAACGGCCTTCACCAGACCCTGAAACCATTCGAGTAAGGGTTTTTTTGTGGTTGAACTCATGAGATTCCACTCTTCTTATCAAATGATTACTAGAACCGTATAAAGAATGTAATCCTACTCTGTTTTGGTGACCATAGACCGGCAAACCTGCCTAAACCCCAAACCCCTAAAGCCTAACCATTTCAGGTTCCGAACACAATCTACCCCACCCCGAGTATGGGTCCTTCATCTGCGGACATTACATGACCACCTATAAAACCCCACAGATCCTATCAAGGGACCATAAGCAAGACCCAGGAAACAAGCAGGGGACGATATCAGGGGCCCATGGTTGAGGGTTTAAGGTTTGTTGCTGTTTCTTAAAAGGGGTCCTATGAGTAAGTTGGGGTTATACAGAGCGATATAAGGTTTAGGGTTGATGGTTTAGAGTCCTTCTAAAGGGCTATATAGAAAGTTTAGGGAGTAAGATTCAGGCCTGCCACAGATGTGCTCCTTTTTTCCGGGGCTACCCCAAACACTGGTCGCCTTGAAAAGGAAGCCCAGAAGGGTCCATAGCTTTGCCAACCCCAGGGTTCAGGGCTTAGAGCCTGTAACACCAGAATGCTGGTACCCCCATGCGGCAGTGGAGAACCAACTGGAAAAGAATTTTCTATAGATGAAGCGGAAGTAGGGTTTGTATCGGGGCCTATAGAGATTCTATGTATTAGAGCTAATCCTATGATAATCCAAAGGGGAAGTTTTGTAACATAGGGTGTCTTTCCTGTTTGGGGTCCTGTTTGGTCGGTGGTTCCTGTTTGGGTTTGATTTGGTAGCCTGTAATATCTTCACAGCGGGTGGGAATGTTGAGAATTCTCAGTTTCGAGGGGTTCTTTGACAACATTACTTGCCTGCGCCCACATACTCCTGAGAGTGCAGTGGCGCCCTCTGTGCATTGACTATCGGCTGCGCGCGATGAGACGCCCTGAACCCTAAGCACAATATAGATCCTATACTCCCTTTACTCGCTGAACCTAGCTCTGGAACCTGCTGCGGCTTGCTTCCCTGGGGAAACTGGAAGAACTGTCGTCTCCTTGACCGCTCCATACCTTGGAATCCACGACTAAAAGTTTAGGGCTTAAGGTTTAGGATTTCAGGGTTAGGATTTAGGGTTTGGGATTTTAAGGTTAGGGTTTAGGGTTCAGGGAGCACTATACTCTACTTTTAGCTGTTTTTGGATTTGGGCTTAGCGAGAAATGCGAAAAGTTAGTCAGAGGGATAACTTGAGGGTTCAAGTACGATGACGACAGAGCCATGCACCCACATATTCATGAATAACCCTAAACCCTAAACCTAAGCCCAAAACAATAAGATGGCCATGGCGTCCCAGACTGAAGCCATGACTGTCGTCATCTGGCCCACATGTTGAACCACGCGTGAAAAGCCTTCAGATATTGGCATACCCTAAGAGGAGGCGATGGTGTGACACATAACCTTGAGTGAGCCCCAGGGAGTTCAGCAAAGGATTAAAGGTTCAGGGCATAGCGGGTCCTAGGGGTTAGAACCTGTAGAGCTGTGGTACCCTTAGCCCAAACCGTGTACTGAAACCTCAAACCCTAAACTCTCAACCCCTACACTCGAGATCTTGTAGAAGCTGTAAGACCTGAACGGAACTCGTTTGCACTAGACACGAACACCGGGGAACCCTAAACCCTAAACCCTTAAACCCTTAAACCCTAAACCCTGAACCCTGAACCCTAAACCCTAAACCCGCAAGAAGCCGCAATCTAAACTCCCAGTAAAGGAAGACAACTACTCTCAGCCTGGCCATTCTTCCTGTAAAAGTCATACTGCGGGTTTAGGGTTTAGGGTTTAGGATTTTGTCCGAAATCTATCTGAAAGGTAAGCCTTATTTCAGGCCTTTCCCTTGCAATACCCAATGAAACAATTGTTGCCATTTGCCTTGTCTAGCTTCCATTCCTTCCTTCATTCCCCCCTAACCTAAACCCTAAAACCCTCAACCCGAAACCCAACCTGAAGGCCTAATCCAAGACCCTTATCCTTGAAACCCATCTCGGAGTGTCCACTTGAAAGCCCACAGTAATGATCTAAACCCCAAGAATATGTAGGATAATTGCCTTGGTGGCGACTTCTGGGTTTTTGAACCCCCTAAACAAATATGTAGAATCATTGCCAGGTTGGCTACTTGTTGGGGTTCGGGGGGCCGTTGTTTGAGCTACTTTTGAGGTTCAGGTGCAACCTTTTGAACGCTGTTAAACAGGAATCGTGAGCCACTACGGCTATTAAGTCCCTGCATGTGGTTGCAACTGGGTTGCCACCACAAGTATAATTGGTTTACACTGGCCCGTGGACCTTCTACGCCTTGCGTGGTCGCCGCGTCTACGCTTCCCAAAGTCTAACTACTGAACCTCACACACTCAACCCATAAATTGAGGGAACCTTCTGGCGTTACCTTGGCGACCTGAATCCTACAAGTGGGTTCTGAAAAACACGGGAAACCCTTGGGGCGCGTATTCGTTGATTTCAATGGGTTACAGGGGCCCCTTGTTAAGGATGATTGTATAGAGAACATTTTACGGGAAGTAAGCAAGCTCTTACCAGCTTGGGACAATAAAGGTTGCACAGAGCTGGTAGAAAGCCGTTATCATCTCTACATGATCCTGAGATGAGTTTAGGATTTGCTCCGCATGGACTCCATTATACGTCTTGCACTCCAAACTCGAAAACTTCAGCGAACATAACAAGCACCAAAAACTTACTCGCTAAGCAGGGAATGAAGGAGGAGGAAGAAAACATGGAAGCGATCATTTTTTGAGGGTTTATGGAGGGACTGCTATGAGGCTCCATCTGTCCATCCCTTGCTAGCCACAGGTAAGTAAACCCAATGTCCTCACACTAAGCCTGAGCCCTGAAGTCAGTAACTTGCACTCTAAACCCTTAAGCCAAAATCTCAGCAATTCCTGAACCCAAGACTCATCCCCTAGCCCAAAACCCCTAAGTCCTGACTCTTGAACTGCGCCTAGAACCTAAACTTGCCCAGTCGCTGACTAAAGACTTGCTTCGAGAGCTCGCTGGTGCAGTTCATGGGCAGACCCGTCCTAAAAGCAAAAAAGCAAAATGGCTTCATTAGTATAGCAACAGCCCTAGGCTTTCTTGTGTTGGTTTAAGGTGTATGGGGTTAGGATAAGAAGTCCTTTAACTGATGATAGTATATTGGGGGCATGTCTGCCAGAGGGTGATAAATATTTTATTAAGGGGAGGGTAGTTTTATCCTGAGATCGCAGGAGAATCAAGTGGGCACGAAAACGGAAAAAATGGAACCAGGCTGTTGATAGGGGCTTATAGATGGTGCAGGAACCTTCTAGGTCATGGCCTAGGGTTTAAGGTTTCGGTTCAGGGTTTAGGGTTGAGAGTTTTTCGGTCGATGGGTTGTAAATTTGGGGCTTAGTTCAGGACTCGAGGTTGCCGATTTCAGGTTTAGGTTGCAGAGCCAAAAGGTTTAAATTGCAAGATTGAGGGTTCACCAACCACCCTTATAACCCCTAAACCCCGAACCGTGTGGCCAAAGATGTGAGGTTCAAACTGCAGGGTCTGAAAATCAAAGTTGTCCATATTTTTTGCCCGAGGAAACTGCGAGTCTTGGAGGTCAAGGGCTCAGGGAGTTCCGCTAAGGGATATTAGGGTTAGGGTTTAGGGTTTAGGGTTTAGGGTTTAGGGGCCAGACTGTCTACCCCTGAGGGTCCAAGTACCCAAATATTAGGGTCTTAGTTACCCTAAAGCCTTATTGTTGGAGTACTTGGACCCTTAGGGTACTATTTGAGCACTTGGATCCTTAGGGTACTTGGAGGTTCATTGGACATACTACCTACTTATGACTGGGCTTCTAACTCTACATATAACCCCCTTAATTGGACTTGTGTAGGTTACCCCAATCTTACGTGGGGTTATAAGCCCAGTTATAAGTAGTCACGAAGTCCCATGAACCTCCACGTAAGAGCGAGGATTTGAGCTGGATCCCATGACTGCTAGTGGATTTCATTGCCTTCTCCTTCCCTGGGGCGCCACGTCCATCAATTCTGCCCACTTTACGTCCCGAAGTCAATAAACAATACCTAGTTTGATGTAGTCCCTACACCCAAGTATATACTCGGGCCCGAAAATAATCAAATAGAAATCACTTTGGACCCGGAGTTTAGGTACATGGACCCTTTGGGTTTGACTGGTTTTGAAGCTGATATCGGCTAAGGGCCGTTGCTTTTTCTTACACGACAAAATCTTCAGGCTGATTCTCACCCTGCCAACCTACCCCAGAACCTCTGTCGTGTGAGCTATAATCTCAACTCCTACCATCCCCTTAATAACTCCTATAATACTCCCCTATGTAATTCCCTATATAACCGCCTTTAAGGAGTTTGGACCCTAAACCCCAAACCCCAAAGCCTACATGATCCCCTGTATTCCCCCCTCTAAAGGAGTTTAGACTACAGCTCATGTAATTCCATGTCAGCTGACAGACCCTAGATGCCTTTGGGATGATCGTTTGCCCACAAGCAGCGGCTTTACTCAGTGTACAGGGTTTAAGGTTCAGGGTTTAGGGTTTAGGGTTGAGGGTTGAGGGTTTAGGGGGGTTGAGGGTTTAGCGTTCATGCGCAAGTGCGTTTTTGCTTTGTCATCGCAGCGTCCAGTGCGACAAGCTGCTTCTTTTCTTATGAGTCTTGGCCTCCGCTCACCAAGCCCTGGCCCAGAAACCACCATAGGGGGTCTCCTAAAACTATGGGTACATTTTCGGGGGGCCCTATAATAAGGACTATAGTATATTGGGGTCTATGCTGGGGTCCCTTATTTAGGGAAACCACCATAGACACGTTCTGCTGGCTTCAGCAGACAACCCAACATCCCCTCGGACCACACAGGTTGCCCAAAAAAACAAGGCAGCCACACGACGTGGCCTTCCAAATGCCGAAAGTTGGTTGGGGTTACTATATTAGGGTATATATATTGGGCTATGCAGGGTTATATTAGGGCTATATTAAGGTTTAATTAGGGTTATATTAAGGTTATATTAGGGTTGTATCAGGATTATACTTAGCATCTCGGACCGAAATAATAATCACGGGCTCAGAAGCTAATGGCTTCTCCTTGCCCTAGCTACAAAGCAGAAAGTCGACCGGCAAACCCGTCTGAAACACTAAAGAATGTCTTGAATGATGGCAATGCATACCATAATCTTCTGGAGTCTTGAGACACACTTTGAAACGTGAGCTATAACCCTAAACCCTAAACCCTATAATCCTTACTCCAGGTATCCTCACAAGAAGGCCCACAAAACTTTGGGAGCCCAATCTACCCTAAACCCCCAACTCTAAGCCCTCAACCCTTTTCAGCCCTGAAACCCTAAGCCATGAACTCTAAGCCCTAAATCGTGGTTTCCATGTTCTTTTCCATCATCCCTATACAACCCTAATATGTACCCTATTATACCCTATATAGTAGCTTCCATTTGGCTTTCCATTATCCCTATATATAACCCCAATATAACCAAATCCTAAGCCCCTAGACCTTGCTCTGAAACTGATGCCGAGAAGCACAAAAAGCTCTTCACTCGGAGGGACGGCCGCCATCTTTACTGACCCAGCTATGCTCCGACTTTCTCCAATACACCAGGAAGAACAAAGACCTAAAGACCTTGCATACCGTTTTTAGGGTTTAGGGTTTAGGGCTCACTTGGCAACCCTAGGTCCCTAAGCACAGCATCAAAACTACAACGTCAGCCTATGCTGCGATGGCTGAGCCAAGAAGCAGCGACAAGGGTTTAAGCATTTAGGGTGTAGGGGCTCAGGAATTTAGGGATTCCAAGATTTTGGGCTTAGATTCAGGGATGTAGAGTTTAAGGGCTCAGGGGTTCTTGGATTGAGGAGGCTGGCGTGTAGGGATTCAAGGTGTGGGGTTTTCATTAAATCCAAAACCTGCGAGGCTGCTGATTGGACAATCCTCAAGCGCGGGCTCAGGGTTTAGGAAAAGGTTTGGACAGTTCTGAAGTTTGTTGTCGAATATGGTAGCCTCTACGAGAAGATGATATGATGCAGTATGATCTCAAAATATAATAGAACAAAGCAGCGCAGAGTAAAACGTGGAATTTCAAAGAACATAGTAGTATGTTTAGTCGCAAAAAAATGGTATAAGAACTGCTGTGAAAAGATTATAAAGATTACTTCAGGAGACGCAGGGTCAGGGATTAGGATTTAGGGTATCGGGATTAGGGTTTAGGGCTTAGGGATTATGGTTTAGGGATTAGGGTCTAGGGCTTAGGGATTATGGTTTAGGGCTTAGGGTTTAGGCATCATTGTTTAAGGCTCAGGGTTCCGGGTGTGGGTTTTTTCAAGGGTGTATATGGGGTTTAGGGCGTAAGGCCAAAGTACAAAAAGAAATGACACGCCTGCTTCTTCTTAAGCTTTCCCTTTGCAGCAGCTGTTGGGATGGCATGGACATAGTGCTGTGTCTAAGTGAGGGTTTAGGGTTTAGGGGATTAGGGTTTAGGGGTTTAGGGTTTAGGGGGGACCTAATGCAAAGAACTTCCCCGGGGTGGTTTGGGCTAGGCAAACTAGAATGCTTCCGAAATCTGACATAATTCCATCTTGGGACGCCTGTGCATTTCTTTTCAAGGTCCGCATAGACCAAGAAAAGCTTTCCATAAGGGTCCAGGGACCCAAATAATAGGGCTTCAGGGCCCAAATCATACAATATTAATGGCATTTGTTCAAGACATGCGGGCTTCCTGTCAAGGCGTGTAGACAATAGATCACAGTTTGAGCCAGCCTTGTTAGCCCAAAATTGGGGCCCAAATTGTACCCTGGGTTTAGGGGTTTAGGGTTTAGGGGTTTAGGGTTTTAGGGTTTAGGGTTTAGGGGTTTAGGGCTTAGGGGTTAGCAATACACTGTGAACTTAATCCTGCGGAATACATGCAAACACACGCGCACAGGAACTGCGGTCTAAACTCCACGAAGTCAAAAAAGGAGTGTAAGGTGCTCCTTGAGCTTGTATGAGCATGTAAATACTCGTCTGAAGGGTCTTTCTTGACTGGAGATCACATGAAACATGCCATGTGTCTGTGAAAGAAGGCGATCAGCCTCATCTGCAACGAACCTTGGCGGCAAAGCCGGGGGTGGTGCTGTTCAGGAACCGGTTCAGGAACTTAAATCAAGTTGGCAGGTTCAGAGACTGCATGGTTTTCTGTGTATCCATGTTCTGGTAACTTCCTTCAATATCTTGAACAACGCTGCAAAACCTCCAACCCGGTAGAACCGATGAGTGTCCTACAGATGTTTCGGAACAAAGCCAAACATTGCAACAACTGCATCCCAAACAATCCTGCGTGTTTGAACCTTCAAATTCTGGGTAACAAGCCTTTTGAATTTCAGGCTGCAACAATGTCGTCGACAACGCTCCAGCAGATGGTGAAAGCGTCAAACAGAACGCCGCACGAGGAGTTGTCCACATCGTAACTCCGCGGTTGGGAAACTCCCGAAATGCACAGTAATCTTGAGGTATCTTGGGGATCCTGAAGATGCTCGGTAAGCCTCTTAGCGCCTCATTGGATATTGGAATTCAGATAGAGAAAATCGATGTTTCTTACTGTATCTTCTGCTACGTAATAGCATCCAATACGATAAGAGGTATGCAAAGCGATGACATGAAAGACGTGAATCAAACTTACATCCAACAATGACCCAGCCCAGGTCATAAACCTTGATTAAGGGTTACAGATTGGGTACTGCCCCCCCTCAGTAACAGTCTATATTAGGGGTCCTATTAAGGGCTATATATAACCATATTATAAATATTAGCCAACTATTACTGAGAGGGGGCAGTACCCAAGATACAGACAACAATATTACCCCCAAGAGCACCCTCCTGGATTTGAAGCCTGCTGTGCCTTCTCAAGCCCTGTAAACCCTAAACACTCAACCCCAAATCCCAAACTCTAAACCCTGAAACCTAAACCCTGAAACATAAAACCCTAAACCCTAAAACCCTAAACCGGAAAACCCTATACCCTAAACCCTGAAACCCTAAACCCGAAAACCCTAAACCCCAACCCTGAATGGCAAACCCGGCCACCAGCGAAGAGCTCCCAGATCGAGGCCAGCTCCTTCTCTGGGTTTGGGGTTTAGGGTTGAGGATTTAGGGTTTAGGGGCTCGGAATCCCAAAGAGCCCACGTAGCATCCCTAAACCAGAAATCCTTGGTTCTATAGGGGCTTTATCTTACAGTTGTGGGTTTAGGGTTTAGGATTTCGGGTTTAATTCGGGTTTAGGTTTGGGGTTTCAGGGTTTAGGGTTGTATAGTATACACTTGTCGCTATAGAATCAAGGTCTTGGGTTGGATATTTGGGGTTAAAGGGTAGGTATATGGAAGTACCTTGGCAGCAAAGCAATCATAAAGGAATTCTTTTGAGCCCGGATTGTATACTATATACTAATCTACCTACCTGGACTTATTGGGAGTCTATTTCCCAAGTGTCGGGCTCCAAGTTTATATGCGATTTATGGTTCCCAGGGGGTCAAGGTACCCAATAATTGGGTAACTTTTACACTTTATGCGTCTAGAGCGTTTAGGAAGAAGGCTTTTTCAATTAGGGTTCAGGGCTCTAGATATAATATCTACTTTAGCTGCTTCTGTGGGCTCTTTGGAGCTCTAAGGTAGGCTATACGATGTCATGTAGAAGCCTGAACAAATACCAAAATGATTTCGAGGTCTGTTTGAATTGACGTACCGTATGCTTTAGGTGTATCAGGAATCTAGGACCAATACTATTGGCCATTCTCGATATTAGCCCGTGTCTAACCCCAGTGTTCATTTCATGTTTAAACTTCCTTTGCATTTGATTATCCCTTGTTGGAAATGATGTCCCTAAACCATCTGCATTTAGTTACGCCTCTACATCAGGGTTCAGGGTTCGGCTTGACTTGAAGGGTCAGAGTAAGTACAACGCAACAGAAGGGGATCATGCAGTGTTTATGTAGGGGTATAAATGGTGGAGAGCAGGTATAACCGAACAAAGCAGAATCCAATAGAAAACCAGATGCACAACGAAATGGAGCCTGTGAGTTTACAAGGATGTAGAGGGGGGTTGGTTGGGCTCAGTATTTGTAATCCAAATCTAACTGGTACTTATCACTCACTCTAAACATTATGGGCTTGTAGTTGGATTATAAGCACACTTGAAGGGAGGTTGCAATTTCCCTGCGCCCTAAACCCTAAACTCTAGATAGGACTGTAATGGCCCTCTCCCACCCTTCTGCATGAGCACTCGCCCAAACTTGCTGGAGGTTAGCACGGAATAAGGGAGCAAATTTCATGTGGATTGTGCAGGGATTGTATTCCCTTATTCCCTACTACTCACTAGTAAGACCACTGCCAGGACTTGTGTCTCAGACCGCAGGGGAACACAGAATCGGACCGCAACAAGTGAATAAAATGCCCTACAACTTGCCATCAACCTGAGAAAGTTATGTCCTTACATGAGCTATAATCTAAACTCCTAGGATACCCCTCGATAACCCATGATACTCCCCCACATCTCCCCTTCAAGGGGGTTGGACTACAGCTCACACGACCTTGATAATTGCTTCTCGGCGGGAATGGACATACTAAAATAAACCCTAAACCTGAAACCCTAAACCCCAAATCTCACACCTCCCAAACAACACGAGGTTTCAAGCCAAGCCCAAGGCAGAAATCTTCCTTCATCCTAGACTTCCCTCCCGCTGCACGACAGAAAAAAACACGCCTCACTAGGGTTTATGGTCTAGGGTTTAGGTTTTAGGGTCTAGGGTTTAGGGTTTAGGGTTAGGGTTTAGGGTAGATTGTGTGTCGATGTCGAGGTACCAGCAGCCCGAAACCCCAAGCCCTAAACCCTAAGACCCGACATAATTTTCGGTAGTTGCCATTTGCTTCTCTAGTCCCCTATACCCCCCTAAAGCCCTAATCCCTAATCGCTAAACCCTAAGCCCTAATCCCTAATCACTATAGTCCCGCTTATGTAGATAGAATATGGGGTATACTCTAATATACCCAAAGCCATATTCTATCTACTTAAGGGGAACTATAACCCTAAACCCTATA